TCGAATTCTGAAGGTGAAGGCATATATTGCTCCTGAACTTCAAGGGCGACGTTTACACCTCGCACTGATGTTGATTGCTTGTTTTTTTGTACGGGGCGCCATTTTTTTGGCCTTTGCTTTGGTTCACTGTGTGACCTTGCTTTTGCCTTTGAAGATGCTGTGTTGGACATGTAACCTCGATTTTCATGAGAAAGTGGAGCAGTGGATGCTTGCACTTTTATTTGTTTTGTTGTGGACAGATTGGTGGAGCTCGTTTCAGTCACTGTTGCTGATGGACTACAACATGTCTGGTCAGGCTGATCTTCTTGTTTGTTTATTGGAAACCGACCAGAGTGATATGTGGTGATGACTCCAAGTTCCTTTCTTTCAGCTTGTGAATAATCTAAGGGCCTCATCTCATGAGCATTAACATCCTTTCTATCCTACATTTGAGTGATCAAACGGCTTGTTAATTGTTGCTGCTGAATACAACAAGACACTTAACACCAGTGGCACACGTAGGAAACAAATATCGCTATATATGCTCCTAGAATTATATAAATAGAGTATACATTGAAGAAAAGTAGGACAATGAGGTTGCCTAGTTGAATGTGTGAGAAGATCCCATCTATGTTCAGGTGGAGACATGGAGATAAATTTAGTGTACACATCACGTCGATTTCTCAGCTGAGTGGAAGAACTAATTTAATTACATTTTGTGAAATCAGTAGGATTTGTTTAACATCAGATTTGGTGGTTTGTCCTGGAATATCTTTGTCCAACATTATTGGTTACTTGGTTTGGTAAAATCTGATTGTATCAGGTTTATCAACTGAGCTGACTTATAACAGTTCCCTACTGAAGAAAAAATCCAGTAGATTTGAGTGAAGAAATTGAGTGGAAGAACAAATCCTACAAAATGCAGAACTTGATGGATGATCATCCAAAGGGAAGGGGAGAAAATAATCCAGAAAAGGCCTTACTGTACTATTTCGAGCCGATTCTCCATGACCTGATCTTTTTGTTGCAAGCTCTGCTCCGGCCTCAACCATCTGAACTCTCCTATACCGAGCTCTAACTTGGATAGTCATCAAAGCGTGCATGCTCCTCAGAACTGCAGTAGTTTGTTTTCTGACCAGGTGACCCCTTACTAATGCTTGTAACTTCACTAGTCCGCGTAAAGCACGCAATGCTTTTCTTGCCTGCAGAAAACGATCAGATTATTGTGAATTCTCACCCAAATTGTTCGTATGTCTGCATTTTAATCAGATTATCGTAAACACATTCATTTGATCTGTTGACAAAAGGAGGCATCCAACCACTAGATTATCTAACAAACCAATGGAAAAAACTTTAGAAGCTCAAATTACACATACCAAATAAGAACGAAATGCAGCCTGAATTTTGATGGCAGCAGCATCTTTGAGGGGCCCTATAGCTTGTGAAACAGGAGCTGTAACAACCGGCATTGTTCCATTGACTTGCTTGCTAGTTGTTACTAGGATTGCCTTAAAACGAATTTGCTCAATTTCATGCTCCTCTAGGACCTGTTTTGCCAGGTGGGGAGTAGAGAGTGAGTCAAATGACAGATTGCGACAAGTGACTTTTTCTGTGGTGGTTGATTTCTTGAAGCTCCATCTCCTCTTCTCTTTTGTAACTGATAAGATTGCTCTTGGGCTTCCTAAGTTACTTACCTCTGTGGCAACTGAATTCACTTCTTTCTTGTGCTTGTCTTTCTCCTCCCTTTTGCCTAACAAAAAGTTCCGGATCCATTTTCCTGCTTTACCCATCCTATACCATCAAAGCCTTAAACAGTAGGGACAAATGAAGTAGAAACGAAATAAAAAATGGCCTAGAGAATAAAGGGATGTCTATAAGCAACAAAATCAACAGCTAAAATGATTGAGACTTCTATATAACTTGAACAGAAAGAGCTTGAACACAGAATTGATGGCTAATAAAAGGTTGATGTCTCAACCTTTCTTAATTTGTCTACGTTGTTGAATATCCGGCCTTTATATTCTTCTGCTACAATAGCAATTATATAGGGTTTGCAATAACGTTAAACTTCGACTTTTCTGCTAACCCAAAAATCAAACAAGATAATTTTGGTGGAGAATACTGGTCCTTGTTTTATTTGTTTATGGCTGAGGCCTGCATAGACTTCCCCTTGTGATGCCAATTGACACATTTCTATGGATTCAAGGGTGGTTGTGGTTTCTCAACGACTGAAAATCAGTTTGTTCTTTGTTTTTAGTACTTGTTGCTTTTAGAACTAAACTACCTACGTCTTCTTCATTCAGGGATGCAAAGAAAAGCCAAAAAGGAAAACTAAAAGTCTCCTCTTAAAGAGGGAGAAGTTTCCAATTATGTCCAATTATGCAATACCAAGATCTCCGATCTCCATTTATTTGTGTAGAAGCCAATTTGTGTAGTAGAGACTTGAGACAATGCGGATCAAAGTTATGCACGGAAACTGAAGCAAGTACCTTAGATGCTTAACTAGGTAACTAAATTCATTTGCAGCAGAGGAACGAAAGCCTAGTCCTTGCAGCAGTTCCATTTTTATTTATTTATTTTTTGTTTTGGGCAAAGATTAGGAAGAGGGGATGCCTATCCCAATTCTCAAGTCAAAGCAAACCACTGGTGTATTTTTTGATTTATAGATTACTTACCAATGAAAATTTCATTGGGTTTTGGTCTAATGGCCAAAGAGAGTCTCGTAAACTTCTCTCGAGAGTGTAGTAGTGTACTTGTCTGATCTGAAGAGTTCATTCTTTAACCACTTATAAACCCAACTTAGTCCTCTCTCCTTAATAATATAGGAGTAGTATTGCAGATTGTTGATAAAGATTACCTATAAATGCGATATCATTGATAATGGGAATCAAACCAAACTTTTGTCTATAGTATAGAAGTAGTGTAGATTGTTGAAGTTAGACTGAAAAAAAAAATCGGGAATCAAAACAATCTTCCCTTAAACAAGCCTTACTAGCTTAGCCAATCCCATTGGCAATTGCCTTTTACAGTCATTGATAAGCTACAGTTAGCAACCTTTTTATAGTCATTGATAAATGAGATTCCAAATATTGGACAATCTCTCCTCCAATTGTATAACAAGCTCTCGAATGTTAGTATTCTAAGAAAAAAAATGGTTTGTTTTAGGTATGTGGTTTAGTGATACCGTAAGTTGTTGCAATTAATTTTAGCAAAACTTAAACCTAAAAGATAAGAAGGAACGACGGTTTAACTATAATTATCAGCCACATGGAAGATACGCACCAAACACAAATCCATACACAATTTGACTTTGACTTTAAATGGTAAGTTATACAGAACTAGATTGGTAGGAGTATTACAAAAGTGATCAGATGTACATGTACCTATCAACAATAACTGCCAATTTAGGCTAATTTTTCCTTCACACTTTCCTATTGGTGTGACTTAATTTATCTTTAGTTTTTGTCAAGTGTCATTCTGGGAGATGAAGATAGTGAAGCCATTACAAACATAATAAAGATTAATCTCAATTAAGACCTTTACACAAATTTTAAATTCAATAAGGTTTGGAACTGAATCGGGCATGAACGATTGCTAGTTGAACCAGTCAGACCGTGATCCAGTCTGAATATGAAAACATTGCTCGTATTTGAAACAAATGGTCCAGAACCCATCATTCACTATTAACAAAATCAATATCTGCACTACAGTATGTTCTTTTACACAAGAAAGATGTTAATAGAAATGCTGCTTGCTACTGTATATGAGGCTATTCTAGAAGCATAATCCTCTTCCTCATGTTTATTCTATGAATACAAAATCTATCCTCTGTGAAAATAATTAAATAACTACATCACAATCAATATCAAGCAATTATGTGTAACATAACTGGTAAAGTGATGCCAAACTGAGGCAACACACTATTGAAATTCCTATTTCCAGAGTAGTATAGCACCAGATATCAGCAAGATTCCCATCCATTGAAACTTCCATGGTAAAATTGATGTAGCTGAAAATTTTTTCAAACAAGAAAGAGTGAGCATAAATGTCAAATCCAATTTCAGTTTTCTTGAATAAGGCTAGAAGAAAAAGTTAATCAGAAACAAAAATTTCAAGATGCATTTATTCTAAATAATACTACAAGTTGTCAATGCATTAAAGTTGGATTTAACACAACAAAATGGAACTTTTTTTTTTCGGGCAAATTCCGTACACGGAGTGGATGCTAGCCCAAATTTTATTAAATAAAAATTAAATGACAAAATGGATTAGCTCCTTGCGAATAAATAAGATGGGTAAATTTCATTGCTGCTTCTCCAGACCATTAGCTTAAGCATGTCTACAGTTTTTTTTTTTACAAGTTCAATCTTTAAATTGGAGCCCGTAATGGGAATTTTTAGATTATAGAGCAATAAGTGTCTATATGATAAACATTATTGTTTTCATGTTATTCTTACTTAGTGATTGTGCTTCAAATATTGAAAATTTTTATAATATCAGTTGACTTGCCATGGCTAAAGTGACTTGTTGAATTTCGATTGGAAAGTTGACAACTAGTATATGATTGACCAATAAAAAAAAAGGGTAATTATGGGGTTTGAACTTTTGACACAAAAAATGTCAATTCCGTGTATGTTAATCTTGGACTTATAAGGGAACAATCCTTTCAAACTTAATTATTATGCTTTGAATTGGTCAAATAGTATTTACGCAAGTCTCAAGAACACAACTTCTACATCTTGTACGTTCTGGTTTTCGCCTATAAAAACGAAGATTATGGCACTAAAAAGTTCTCAAGTACAAATACAATCACGACTAAAAATTAATATTTGTATTTCACTTTTTGTTTGTGCCCTTTCTCTTCTTCTTCTTATTAACTCCCTTTTATCTTTTTAATCTAATTTTCCATTTACTTATTGTTAAATTTAATTTTAAAAATTCAATTTACTCTATTTATAAATTAAAATTAAGATTATTACGTATTTAAAATTCAAAACTCCTCAATGGATTTGTAAACTCACCAGGGCGCTGTCATCATTATTTCGAGATGAAGTTGATGATGAAAGCTTAACTCCCAGCCTTGAACAATCAGACCCAACGGCACCTTTTTAAATCAAACATTTAAATCACCACAATAGCTGTTATATACATATATCCTCTATTGCATGTTTTTCTATTAATCTCAAATATAAATAAAAATGAAAAAGTAATTGCAATAATTATATAATAGCCATGGTGCTCTTACATTGATTAAAGCATGGAAAAACTGAGATGTCGTTGAGATTAGAGTAACCACTATTGCACTGACATTTGTGTGTATATGTTGCATCCTTTATGCATGTTCCTCCACCGCAGTAAATCCAGTAGCAGGCTAGAAGGATAAGAAAAGAATTTTACAAAATTATTTGTTAGAAAAAAATTTGATTTTTATTATTTATTTATTTAATTATATTATTATTATTTTATCGCCCTCCCCATCGTTTTGCCCTTCGTACTCCTAACTATCAAACATGAAATTCGTACTCTAAACTTGACAGTCAAGAGAACTCTAAGAGTCCTCGTTTATTGTAAAGTACATTAATATTGGAAACTTGAGATGAAAGACAGTTTTTTTTCCCCTTCTTTTCTTAAGTGAAAGAGTACTTACGGTCGAAGAAAGATTTATTGTATGGAATTGATGGAGAGGAGCTGGAGCTGGCATGCAAGAATAGTCAAGAGAGCCTGTAAACAAGAGGAAAGATTTTTTAGTCATATGCTTCATTTGGCCGGCAAATTGGACTGAGGGACCTTGATAACTATCACAGTTTTCAGCTTACAACCAAATAAAGTACTAGCAAAATAAATATACAAATTTCTCAAACAATATCTTGAGATGTATGTGGCAGAATTAAATTTTTTTTTAACTTAACACAAAATAAAAGAAATTTTTGAAGATTAGGAAAGGTATTCAAAATGCTTCTTTGGTGGAATAAATAATTCAAATCAACTTATTTCAATATTAAATTCTTCTAAATTCCAAGATCACAATGAGACGCCAAAAAGCACCTATTATACTGCCTTTGATTTTCAACTTTTTAGCCTTGGGAAGAAAAACTAGAAGTAAGATTGGAACAGAAATTGACAACTAAAGAAAATTGTATCTCCCAAAAGAGAAAAAAAAAGGAAAGAACACAATGGTAGTTTTTCTTTTCTTTTTTTTTTCATAATCAGAATTAAAATCAGGGGTTTTGATCAACAAAGAACACGCTCTAAGCAGACGAGAACAAGGGCGAAAGACTTACAATTTGGAATTACACAAGGTAGAAACTCTAAAGTTTCTTCATTATCTAAACGTGTTCGCTTCCAACCATTGTCGCAAATGCATTTGAAGTTGAATGGGTAGCCTAGAGATGCTTGGCAAGTTCCTTTCCCACACTCCACTTCTTTACATATATCGTCTGTGGCAATTACATGAAAACCCTAGAGAGTTAGAAGAGTTTTATTTCCCGCAAACATATATTAAACACACATATAAAGAAAAGGGGACGTACTCAAAATAGGAGTCAAAGGATCATCTCCTCTTGTGGCAATTGGCGGAAGAATCATTGCCATGGCAAGAGAAATTTTGAACCAGGAAAGAGCCATCTCTAGAGACACAAAGAGGGATCAAGAAAGCTAAGACTATGAGATAGAATAGGTGATATTTGTGGTGTTCTTATGCTTGATATATATATAAATTGTAGATTGATTTTTCTACGTGGAAGCTTCTTAGATCGTTAGACTAATTAAGTTAGAATATTTGGCAAAAGTCATTGTAGAAGTCTTGAAAAGCAGTTATGATTTGGAAATTAAGCTCCAAGAAATGAAAGCAAGCTCTTAATTTGGCTTCAACCTGTTTTTACTTGTATATCGGACTCTGACATAGTCTTCTTTGACATTGAACTGATCCTCAAACTATATCCCACATTAATGTTGCTTGAATTTGTCCTCAGTTCTTGTACATCCTACATGTTCATGTACTTGTATTCTAGAGGATCTAGATGGCAGCAAGAAACGGTTACCTAAAAAGGAAAAAATTCGCTTTTGTGCTAGGTTTCTAGTATCTTTGTGGAAAAATTGCAATGTGGTCATTAAAATGCAACTTAGAAGCTTCTTGGTGCAAAGATGAGTGTTTCCTTTAATTTCAACTGACACATTCTAATAATTTCTTCTTTGTACTTAATTTGTTGATTTTTTTGATAATTTGATGTCTATGTTTAATAACAGCGATTAATATCTAGTTAAAGATTTTCTCTTACCTATTTATTTTTGTGGTAATTAAAAATGGAAAAGAAGGCAGCTTACTTTGCACATATCAAGTAAATAATTTTATTTGCATTATAACACTTCAACCGGACCTTTCTAGGAAGAACCTTAGAGTTACTATATAAATATACATATACATACATACATATGTACATACATATATACATATATAATACACACACATATATATGTTTATATATGTATGTGTGTGTATATGTATGTATTTATGTATGTATATATATATGTATGTATGTCTGTGTACACAAGCATATGCTAAATTGTTTCAACAAGACAAAAAAGCAGCAGCCAAAATCTACCTTAGTGCAGTTGAAATATTCAACTTTATAAAAAAACATATATATTATTATCTTGTTAATTGAGCGAAATAGTCGTATCATTTCAAGAAGTCTGTGATCATTGACCTTGAGAACAATGAAAAGTCAAATTTCATCCACATGGTGACCAAAATATCAATTTCAAGAACAAGAACTTTGCCAGAAATATTTCCTATATTTATAAGTTAATCACTAGAGAATATAAAATATTTCCTCGAAGCAGCAGCAAAGTTAGACCTGATGAACTTTTGAATTCATCCAACAGTAAATCTTCAAAAGCCAGAATTTTTTTTTTTATTGAAATCTCAATCAAGGTTAATAAGGACAGTGGAACTCCTTTTTGTTGTGCGTGTGTACTTTGTGTGAGAATTATTATTTTTTTTTTAAATTTCTTTCTATATTTGTGGTCATCTTGATTCCCTATTTCTTTTGTTCTTCTTGTATGAGGGGTAAGAATGAAGTTTTCACCATTTTGAACTTTTTTTTTAAATAATTTTTCTTGTGCACCTGGTGGTGGTAGATTCATCATATCATATCATTTACTGTGTTCAATTGAAATTGATGTTTCTTTATTCTTGTTACCACTGTACCGGGGAACCTCAATTTTGCTTAAACAGAATAGAGCTAGCTCATGCGTTGCTCGCCAGATTGTTTTCTAGGTTGATTTTTGCAAAAGCCACAATAGCATCTTTGGTCTCAAATATATAGAAGGGACGAGCCATAATGATCCTGATGTTTTGCCCACATTAATTATTTGGTTCTTAGCTTCTTAATTTTGCCCATATAATAATCCTAAACAATTATCAGACAAATCTTGAATTGCAAATGAGAAGGGTCGAATCCACGTTTTTTTTTTTTGACAACAATCCACGTTTATTTTCGAAGCAAAATGCTAACCTTCACATAGGTGCAATTTGTTACCTAGTGTTTAGAGTGTGTGGTCCTGAGTTTATCAATAATCCCATGCATTGCGCGGTGGATGTGAAGAAGTACTAAAAATTATTTGGTAAAAAAAACCAAATACTCGCATGTAACTATATTAATCTCGTCTAAACTGTTAGTCGGTAAATTTTTTTTTATTTTTTTGGGTTGGTCTGATAAATTGGTTAAAGCCATAAAATAACTTGAAATCGTACATGGCTCGAGTACTATGCTTAAATGTCAAAATTGATAATTTGCCAGTCTTTTTTTTGATCCGTACGATGATTTCTATTTTACTTCTATTTCTATATTTACTTAATACTAAACTTTATATACTGAAGAGATAGGTAAATATAAAGGGATCATTGAAAGACTTGACGGAGACTGAATTGCCTCCAACCAAACATGTACACCATGTAAAAAAATAAACCAAATTGTGATAATTGATTAATTTATTAACCACATGGTGTTAGTTTATTGGTTAATAACGTTGGTTATATTGTTCAGTCATTGGTCACATGGAACCTTTTGTTTTTTTTTTGAAGGAATGGTCACATGGAACCTGATTCGTGAAGTAATTAGTAGTAGTAGATGCCAGTATAAAAAGGCCGCTGAGGGTACAAGAACAAGCTGTAGCCTCCGCATCAGTTTTGTCGTCTTTTGTAAGAAAGAACCGTGGCCTCATTTGAGCAATGGGATAATTTTAGAAACCTCCCTGAGATTTTTGACTATTTCACTGGCTTCCCTCTAAATTTCAAAAATTTCACTAACCTCTCTTAAAGTTAATTATTTTGTAACATTTAGACCCAATTAATAATCAAAAAGTGATGTTAGAAAAGAAAAAATAATATCATTCCATCATTGCTCCTCATGTACTACATTATTTAATTAATTTAATAGCAACCCATACATTAAATAAAAACATTAAAATTTGTTGTTTATCATTAGGAATCAAATCACATGTAGCATCAAAAAATGGTATACCATTTTATATTTTTCACTTAATACAATATTCAAATTGTTCTTTTCAGTTATATTTCCATTGTCAAATATGATCAACAACAAATAATAAAAAGAAATGCAATCGAAATATTACAAACTACAAATATTAATATCATAATATCTTGTCAGCATATTAATATTAGTTGTTGAGATTTTTATGGTATTAAAGTTCATTCTTTGTAATAGTTTGGTTACAAATTTTTTTGATTATTTATTGTTGATCAGGTTTGACAATAAGTTTGTAATTAAAAAGACAAATTTGGATCTTACATTAAGTGAAATATACAAAATGATATACTGTCATTTATGATTTAATCCCTGATGATAAATAGTAAATTCTAGTTTTTTTTAATGTTTGGGCGGGTATTAGTTTAATTAAACAATTTAGTAGATGAGGAGTAATGGGGAATCATATTATTTTCTCTCTCCTAATAGGACTTTAATTATTGGTTGGATTTAGATGTTACAAGATAATAAATCTCAAGAGAGATTAATGTAATTTTTAAAATTTGGAGGGAGACCAGTGAAATAGTCAAAAGTCTCAAGGGAAGTTCATGAAATTATCCCTTGACTAATATAATAGAAGAAATTCCTTTTGCCTCTATATCAATTTCTTGTATATTATCCATGGATTTATGCTTTTTATTGATTTCGATCCATCAGAGTGGTATCAAAGTTATGATAGATTTAAGTATAGAAAACCCCAATCCAATATTGTTTGTGCTGTCAAAAAATTCAAAACAAAGGTAGAGTTTAATTTTTGATAGAAATAGATGATAACTCATGTCAAAGTACTTGCTCAGGATGCTAGTGAAAACAACAAGATGAAAGATAGTTTGGCGTTGTCATAGATTCATCAAGCAATTAATATGTCAGTTTTTGGAAAAATTGTTGAGACTAACACAGTGAAGAAGGTCTAGGATATTTTGGAGAAAAAGTATAAAGGGATTGTTAGAGTTCAACAAAATAATTTGATGACATTGGAAAGGAAGCTTGAACTTGTGACAATGGAGAATTCTGAATTCATTGAGTCATCTTTTTCTCATTTGTCAAATATTAAAAATGAGATGGAACTCAATTAATATGACTTCCTTGCTACAACATGTTTCTCAACACCCTATCCATAAACTTAGATCATGTGATAACTATGATCCATGAGACAAAAGATTTGATGAATTTGAGTATTGAAGATTTGTAGGAGTCATTAATTCTGCATGAATAAAGAATTAATAGGAAGTTAGAGGATATCCCAAAGAAGGATCATAGAAAAGATGCTATAGACGTAGTTGAATTTGAGAAGCAATAATGTAATTAAGGAGCAAAGTGAATCCAATCAGAGAAACTCAGGTTACAACAACAGAGTGGGGTATAACAATAGAGGTGGTCATGGCTATAACAACAGAGGTAGAAAAAGTACGTCAAAATCTTGGACACAGTACAATTAACAATTTTAATTTTAGAGGTGGTTCTGATAGAGGCAGATGTGATAATTTTGGTGAAAAAATAATTTTAATTAGAATGATTTTGAATAGAAGATTCAATATTATAATTATGAAAATTTTGGCTATAGACAATTTGAATGTAAATCTGAAGAAAATATAAACAGAAATTTTCAGCCTAATGTTGCTGATAATCAGGTTCAAGATAATAGTAAAAAATCTAAAACTTTGTTATTAGCTTGTAATGCTATTGAGATATTTGATAAAAATAAATCGTATTTGGACACCGACTAGAGTAACCATATTTCTAGTAAGAAAGAATCATATATTGAGTTTGATGAATCTGTCCGTGGTGAAGTTAAATTTGGAAATAAAAATCCCTATTAGCCTGAAAAAATGGAGTTGCTGATTTTATTTATGATATTTTTATGTTCCTGAGCTACATTATAATTGTTAAGTATAGGTCAATTGTCTAAAAAGAAATATGACATTCATATAAAAAATGGTACTTGCACTATTTTTGATAAAAAAAAAATGGAATGATTACGAATGTGTTAATAACTCCAAATCACTTATTTCCAATGAATTTAAATACCAAATTTCTTTTGTTTGAGTACAGTGATAGATGACAGTAATTGACTATGGCATATGCAATTTAATCATTTAAATTTTGACAGTTTAAAATTTTTAGCTAGTAGAAGAATGGTTGATGGGCTATCCGATATCAGATATACTGACAGAATTTGTGATATGTGTTTTAAGAAAGCAACTTATGGATTCTTTTCACACTAGTAAATCTTGGAGGGATAGAAGACCATTAGAAATTATTAATTCAGATTTATACACTATGGAGATTCCTTCTACTGGTGGATGCAAGTATTTTATTATCTTTATTAACGACTTTAGTAGAAAGGATTGGATATATATTTTGGTGGATTTGCATCACATCGTCAGCCATGTCTGCCGAATCAGCCTCAGCTATTCAACGAAACCAAGTAAGTAATTTTCTCAATTTAGATCAATAGTAATCAGTATTTAATCTCCCATATGTTCTCTGTCTTCAGTTTTTCATTTTTTTTCCTTTAATTTTCCGTTTAACCAAAAAAAAAAAAAAAAAGACAATGGAAAAACAAGAAAAAGAATGATGGGTTTTGTTTTTCAGGTTGATTTGTTGGACTTTGTGGACTGGTCAGGAGTTGAATGCCTTAACCAAAGCAGTACTCACTCTCTTCCTAATGCCCTTAAACAGGTAAAAAAGATTGGAAATTATTGAGCGTTTGTGTTTTTAATATATATGTTGAATGATTTCAATTTTCTTCTTTGATGATATTTGCTTTATTCTAGCTATTGAGGTTGTGTATTCTGCTATTTGGCTGATGAAATAGGAAAATTAGGTTTGAATGCACGAATAACTAAAAGGGTTTTGGTTGGAATTGGTGTTCGAATTGTTTACTCATAGTTAATTTTTTGTAGTATGCTATGTTATTTTTGTAGGTTTGAAGAGGTTAAAATATCCTTTTTTCTGTTGGATTTAGCAATATGTCAAAGTTGTAGAAAGCCAGCAGGAAATTGAAATTTAATAGTTGAGTAGACCACCTTTGTGAAGAAATAAACGGAAGGAAATCTGAAATTTTGAACTGATTGGAAAGGAAACATTCAGTTAGAAGTTCCGAGTATACGGTGGCTGAATTTCCCAATAACTTTGAAATGCAGAAAATTTGAATACAAGAAAATATAGGACTGCAATTCCCTCTTTGCAACTATGTACTAGGTCTATATAAAATTATGTACTCGTGAACGAGCATTTTTTTGCATTCTAGCTTGTGCTACTCTTGAGTTTGACCTTTTTAGGTTCTTTTTGGGTTAATTATCTGAAATTGCCATGCTGTGTCTTTTTAAGGGAGATGCTTCTTCCTCGCTTTACATAAAAGAAGCAAAGAAAGAGGATTGAGGGGAGAGTGATTAATTTATGAAACTCTCTGGGGAGTTCAATATATTTCTAGCACAAGTTCCAAGATGTTAGAGAAAGAATGAGTGTTGAATTTCCTGCTTTGGAAGTAAGAGTACGTTTGACACAAGCATATTAGCTTAGAAGGAATAAGCAATGTATATAATATGGTTTTAGTTTTGGAAAGACAGTTTCTGTAAAAGTGGTCTGCAGATCACATTACAGGTTTAAGGTTCAGAATTGTAGGAGATCTCTGGACTTTTATGGTTCTTGTACAGTGAGATTTCTACAGTTTCTAGCAATTACTTTTTTTTGAACCATTTAGTATTTGCCTGCTTGCTTGTTAGACACATAGATGTACTTCTGCAGATTCACTACATTCTTATGGCATCTTGAGATGTACTCCAATTTTTTATATGGGGAGTTAAAGTTTGTAGAAGAAGCTTGTAATATCACTATGCAAAGGCTGTTGTCCCTAGTTTTAGTCTTGACATTGGGATTAGGCAAGAAATGTAAATATGGAGACTGCCTGTTTAAGCTATAGCAATTATACTGAGTGAAAGTGGAGATTCTTGTTTCTTTAAATCAGAAGACATTCTTGATACAGGCAGTGTAAATTGATGTAGGAATTAATTGAACCAAAATTAATTCACTTTAGTGTACATTGATGTAGGAATTAATTGAACCAAAATTAATTGACTTTCTGGCAATTAAGAGCAACTCTACTTTGGATTCATGATGGTCTATGTTAGCAAAGAGTATGCAGAAATAGTGGACTCTTATTCTTATTTTTCTGACTATATTAAGGTTAGAAGGTTTTTGCTTTAAGGTCTTTGAGGAACATTATTATATTTTTCCTCTCTCGCATCAAATCAGTTACTAACTTTCACTGTTGCTTGAAACCTGATTTTTATGTGAACCCAAGTCATCTTCTCATGCTTCAGACTACACCTGCATCAGTTCATGATACGGGCCAAAGATAGTCCATGACATGATGGCAATTGAGGCTGCGAAAGTTGACAGAAATTGATTCACCAACTTGAGTGGGTAGTAACATGCCTTGATAAGCATGTGCACTGTGGCCAAGTCTGAGATAGCCACCATTATTACTCTTTGGACATATTTCAAAGTTACTTATGAAAATCGCATTTTCCTTGAGAATTAGTGAGCACTTTATTTTGGAAGAGATGAAGTGATTATGTTGTTTACATGGGTGGTAGTACGATTAGTTAGATAAATAATTTTCACCAATTATGCTTTGTTCACCATGTCAACCAAGCAGTTTTTCAGATCCTATTGAGTGCTGCTGTTTATAGAAGCATATTGCATTCAGGTTCGGGGTGAGTTTTGTGAGAGTGGGGGTTCAGTTGTTCTTAAAGTGAGTTTTAGGCATCTTAATTTGGAAATTTCTAAAACAACAGGAAGCATTTTCCCAACAAAATCGTTCCAGCAAAGTATCTTGGAAAATGTGCACTAAAGCTTGGAAACTGGGACTTAAGGTGTATTATCCTTAAGTACTTGAAGAGCTCCAATCATTGCAACAGAGAAAATTGATGAGACTGTTGGTTAAGACAATATTTTGTTCTAGTTGGGCCATGAGTCATGTGTCTCTGGCTAAGATTTGAAAAGTCAGAGTGGGGAACAGAAGTTGTAGGGGCTAGAAGGATTTCTAAGACGTCCAAATGATGATGGAAGATTCTCACTCAAGATACTTTTCTCTAAATCTATCTTGTTTTCTTCTTCTTTTTTGTTGTTTGCTAGGTTTTGTCACTCTTGTGTTCTCCATTTATCTTGTTTTCTGTTTTTATCATGTGGGGCATATTGAAAAACATTCTCTTCATTTACTTTGGGTTATTGTAAGCTTTTTGGTGTAATAATTCTATTTCAATGTTATGTTGAAACTGAAGGATGAGACTGAGGAGTGGCAATTTCTGATGCTGCATGGTATCTCAGTTAGCAATGAAATTTTAACATGAGATCTGTAGTGACACTATAGATTCGCCAGCAGGGAATAAACATTTATATTACCCAAAGTTTGTATACCCCTGAAACCTTAGGTGACTAGCAACTTTGCCAAGATTTCATGTGTTTTTACTGAACTTTTGAATAAATACTGCAAAATTAGCATTTGGTATTTGGTTTTAGATATAAGATGGGTTATGGAATTATAGATGGTATATTGATGATTTGACATTTACTTCATTTGTTTGTTTACTCAGATGGAAGGGATGTTATATTTATCAATGTAATTGAATTTTATTTATCTTTAATCAGGGATATCGGGAGGACGAAGGTTTGGTACTAGAAAGCGACGCAGATGAGCAACTATTAATCTATATACCTTTTAATCAAGTAGTTAAACTACATTCCATCATTATCAAAGGACCAGAGGAGGAAGGTAAACATTTATAATTCTTTCAAAAAGGTATTTTACAAGGTCATGATTTAATGGCATCAGCTCTTAGTGACTAGTTACGAATTTTGTAGTCCCAGTTCTTGTAAGTGTCTCTTATGAAATTTGCATTGTTGATGCCTTCCTGTCTAATTACTAAGTATACTACATATCCTGGTTTCTCTTAAAACCTTTTTTTTCAAGTAGTTCAAATAGGCATGTTGAAATAAGATTAGGGAGAGTGAAATTTGTGAGAATTATTGCTATAAGAAAGTGTAATATCATGTGTAAAATGCAATGATCATTTTGACTAATTGCCCACAAATAGATTGCGTACACTCAAACATACAGAAGTCTTTACATGTTTACGAACTTACAAAGTTATTTTGGTCTGTCAGATCTTCTGGTAATTGCCTCGCATTTCTGGTATGAAGCCTGCTTAAATTCCATGCTTATGGTCATGGCTAGCAAATGTTCAGTATCTGCATGTTCTTGTGAAGTGTCTGCATATCCAAATTTCCTGCAATGTGGGCATGAAAAGCTTTTAAATTGAAAGGGAAAAGAGTGAATAAAGAAGAATCAGTGATAAGAGACTTAGGAAAGCTGGTGTTAAATTTAAGATTTCCAGGAAGTTTGTATTGAATTTGAGCATGTCTAACTGCAATAGATCTGAATGTTTTCTTTGTCAGCAGGTCCTAAAACTGTGAAACTTTTTTCAAATAGGGAGCACATGGGATTCAGGTAACTTTGAGATTAAATTCCTTTCTGGATTGTTTTTCTAATTTTCCATGTTATTTTTCCTTTCAAAACTGGAATAAACTTCTTTATTGTACCTTTACATGCAGTAATGTTAATGACTTCCCTCCTAGTGATACAGCTGTTCTATCTGAAGATAATCTTAAGGTAAATTTTAGTGCTTCGACAAACTTCATGGCAGTGCTGGTTCTTGCATTTGAGTGAGAACTTGACTGGATGTTGTAGTTTGGTTACTATGCTCGTCGCTTCACTGTCATAATTGATTCGCACTACCTTTTATTTTGTAGGGAAAACCAGTGATCTTAAAATATGTTAAGTTTCAAAATGTTCGGAGGTATGTTGAATATTTCTGGTACTTTTTACACTTGGACTGAATGTTTTCCAGTTTAATTTAACTTGATTTTAGCATTTTCTTGTATCAGCTTGACAGTTTTTGTCGAGGATAATCAGTCCGGTTCTGACATTACAAAAGTTGAAAAGATTGTTTTATGTGGAACAACGTAAGTTTCTCAAATTTTTCACTTCATGTGTTCTCTTCTATCGCCAAATTTCAGTTGTACTCTGTCTCTTGCTAAATTCATCGTTCTCGGATTTCCAGTTTCCTTCTTTTTCCATATGCTTTTCATGCATTTTTGTTTAGTACATTGTCATATGGTGTTATGGACAAGGTTGGGGCAATGTTGGTAGTGTAGTTTAGATGTGTACAACATGCTGCTTCTGTTTGGCATTTTTATTATTTTAGATATTTATGTTTATTAGCAATCTCTGGCTCGATATTAGTCAGTTCTTTAGTTTCAGAACAAACGTAATATCTGCAAATGTGGCGTATCGCCGAAATGCTAGAAAACTTACCAATAGATCTTGCGCTGAAACCCTTGGTCTTGATGTCATGCTTACTGTGAAGCATTTGGTTAATAGAGGTCCACTATGCTCCCTTTTCTATAACCTTTGATCCATATTGCTTGCAGTAGACACATCCCTTAGACAAGCTGGTCACCCATTGCCCTGAAAAACTATAAAGCAATGTAACTTTGCTACTCTGCTTTTTTATGAAAATTTACTTTGACCTCTGACTTTTATTTTGGATACTTTGCATGCTGCAGCTATCAATCTGTTTTAACACAAACCAATCTCTTACATTGGTAGAGGAAATGGGAGAAATTAAGTGCTGGCACACCATGTCATGCTTCTCCTCCACTGAGATCATGGAAGGCACCATTTCATCGCCTCTAACATGTTATGCATGCAAGTTATGTGTGTAATTGTCTGTAGTTTCCAAGTGTGATGAATTGCGGTAACTTTAGGGCACAATGTGTCTAAATTGAAGTTTGGGGTAGAAAGTTGAAACTTGGTTCAAATATTAAAGGGTGCAAAGTGGTACTAGCCAAAAATGATGTACTATACCTCCTATCTTTTGTCTGAGAACAGTTAGTATAACTCGTATGGCTAGAGAAGTTAGCAATGACTGCTAAGTTGATATAGGTTGACAGTGGAGACAACTAGAAAGGCAATGCCTGGAGATTGATAGTTTAGAATTTGTGACATGAAACAATTGTTGCCTGGCAGTTGTTTTGTCAATCCATTTCTACGCTGTAACTTACAAAAATGTTGTGCTACCCTGCTAACTTAACCTTCCCTTTTACAGTTTCACATTGTCACAATCTAGTTTTGTATTTCTTGTGAAAACAAAGCAATAAAGAAAAATAGAAACATATTAGTCTTACTGACGCAGCACGAACACTTGGTAGGCACATCAGCTTTGTAAAAAAACCCAGATATCGAATTTCACCCAAAATTGAAATAGCAACTAGGAATAGGATAAGAAAATACGCTTAAGAAGATGAAAATCTGGTTAGTAAGTCTAGGAATCACTCCTAGGAATCTTTAGGCATCACACCTAAAGTTGGGATGTATCACACAACCCTAAGAAAGATTTTGAGTCTGCAGGAAAATTTTATTAATGCCAAAAAATCTGCCTTCTCTTTGTGGAGAAGTGGTTATTTATAGATGTTAGAACAAAGCCAACTCCAATTCTAATTAGGACTCTTAACTAGAATAAAATTCTAGTAGAACGCTAGAAAGCTAAGTTTTCTTATTCCCCATAACAACTAAAATACTAATTACTAAACAAAAAATTACCATAAACATAAAATTCCTGCAGCTAACCAAATTACTAAAATACCCCTACTAGTGAAAATCAGAAAACAAACTCCATAAGATACAAACCAACTCCCAAGTTGGTTCCTTGTCATCAAAAGCATACCAAATCAATGCTTGGTCATTCGACACACCCTTTGCGTGCCTCCTATAAACCCTAGTGGATTTTTGCCCCTCATCTCTATCATCTCTCCCCGGCTTGAGAAGACTCGACCCCGGCGAGTTAATGGCCTGATACCTCTCATAGAAATCTGGATCCAACTTCTGAAATTCAGATTCACTAATCCATGTACAATCTGTACATGGTCGTCCCCTCCAATGAACAAGAAACTTCTGGTAGCTGCCCCCTGTAGTTGACACAATTTGGTGGTCAAGAACATCTTCCATTGCTTCACATAAGCATGTAGGAGTTGGAAGAGTAGCTTTAGAAGTCCTATCTGCTGAATCATCAAAATGACCATCATAAGCAGTCAAATCTTCAATATTGAACACGTTGCTAATTCCCATATCTTTGGGTAACTCAAGAACATAAGCATTTGAGCTGATTTTCTTGAGAACCTTGAAAGGACCTGCACTTCTGGAATGTAGCTTCTTGTAGACACCTTTAGGATACCTCTCTGGCCGAATATGAACCATAACTTCATCCCCTTCTTCAAATTCTGCAAATTTCTTCTTGAAATCTGCATGGGTTTTGTACCATTCATTGCTGATAGCAATCTGGCATCGAACTTCATCACGTATATCTAGAATATGCTTAGAGAAAGCCTCAGCTTCAGCACTTGGACGAGCGCTAGCTGGTAATGGAAGCAAATCAATTGGTTTGTGAGGATTATTTCCCATTACAGCCTCAAAAGGACTATAACCAGTTGATTGATTCACTGAACTATTGTAAGCAAATTCTACCATTGGTAGAATTTGATCCCAATTGGAAACATGATCACCAACCAAACACGGAAGTAGATCACCAAGGCTGCGGTTAACAACTTCTGTCTGACCATCCGTTTGTGAGTGGAAAGAAGAAGAAAACTTGAGTTTAGTGTGCAGCATCTTTCACAAATTCCGCCAAAAGTAACTCATAAACTTCACATCCCTGTCTGAAACTATAGTCATTGGCAGTCCATGAAGTCTAACTACCTCTTTGAAGAAAATCTTAGCAACATGGACAGCATCTGAAGTCTTAGCACATGGGAGAAAGTGAGCCATCTTTGAAAATCTGTCCACAACTACTAGTATAGAATCATAACCTCACAACGTTCTTGGTAGTCCAAGGACAAAATCCATGCTCAAATCCTGCCACGGTTCATGTGGAATGGGTAGTGGCATGTAAAGACTAGTGTTTTTCTTTTGCCCTTTGGCCAATTGACAAACTCGGCATCAAGCAACAGTCTTGCCATCATCACATCGTATACTTGGCCAATAGAAGCGATCTTGCTTTGGTCCAGTAGCACCTCCACCATGTAATTCTCAAATTAACTCCACCCTCAGTGAAGTATTAGGAATACAAAGTAGAGTCCCTTTGAAAAGATAGCCATCATGGATGGAAAAACCAGTATATTTTGCTTGTTTACCAGCCATTAAATCCTCATATATGACCTTGAAATCTCTACCACGAGGATAATCTTGCTTAAGTGTATCAAAACCAACCACTTGAACAGCCATAGTAGTTAGACTAAGATGCACACAACTAAGTGCATCAGCCACCTTATTCTCAACACCTGCCTTTTGTTTGATAATAAAATTGTATTGTTGCAGGAAAGAAACCCATTTGCCATGCCGATGACTGAACTTCTTCTGAAAATTAATATATTTGAGGGCTTCATGATCATAATATAGATCAAATTCCTTATAAATAAGATAATGATGTCAATGGCGAATAGATTGAATAACAGCGTCGAATATCTTGTCATAAGTAGAGTATTTCTACTTTGCCTCATTCAACTTTTAACTAAAACAAGCAATAGGATGACCTTCTTGACTTAGAACTCCACCAATCCCAACATGAGAAGCATCACATGCGACCTCAAACACCTTAGAAAAATCTAGCAGCCTAAGCACTGGAGCTTTGGTCATTCACTTCTTCAATTCTTCAAAAGCCTTAGTTGTAGTTTTTGTCCATTGAAACTGTCCCTGCTTCATGCAATCAGTGATGGGAGCCATAATGGAGCTAAATCCCCTTATAAATCGCCTGTAGAACGAAGCTAGCCCATGGAAACTGCAAACCTTCTTCAAATTAGTAGGAATCAGCCAATCTACTATTGCCTTCACCTTTTCTGGATCAGCAGCTATCCCTTCATTTGAAATGACAAAACCCAAAAATACAATTCTAGGAGCCATGAAAGTACACTTCTTCAAGTTGATATAGAGCTTTTCTTGATGAAGAACTTGCATTACTTGCTGAAGATGGTTAATGTGCTCCTCTTTGTTCTTGCTATAAATTAAAATATCATCGAAATAGACAACCAAAAAAAGGCCAATAAAGGGCTGAAATACCTGTGTCATGAATCTCATAAAGGTGCTAGGAGCATTAGAGAGGCCAAACGGCATCACTAGCCACTCGTAGAGACCATCCTTCGCCTTGAAGGCTGTTTCCCACTCATCACCTGAACGAATTCTGATCTGATAGTACCCCTTTCGCAAGTCAATTTTAGTGTAGACAATAGAACCAGTCATCATATCAATCATATTATCAAATCTAGGTATGGGAAACCTATACTTGATTGTTATCTTATTGATTGCACGGCTATTTACACACATTCTCCAGGTTCCATCTTTCTTTGGAGTCAATAAAACCGGCACTGCACAAGGACTTAGGCTGATTTGAATATGTCCTTTGTCCAAGAGCTCATCCACTTGTCTCTTAAGTTCAGCAGACTCACTCGGGTTCATGCGATAGGCAGGCAAGTTAGGGAGTTGAGAGCCTGGTATGAAATCTATTGCATGCTGAATATCACGCATGGGTGGTAGTCCATGCGGCAGATCTTCTGGAGCTACATCAGAAAAATCAGACAGCAATTTGACAATTTCTGGAAGCACTTCTTCAGAGTTGACAATTGCTGAAATTTTCACCTCTTTGAAGATTAATACCATGATAACTCCTTGCTCCTTGCTCTTCCTTTCAAATTGCTTCTTGCTTAAAATCTGAGGAGGCTTCTTCCTTGTCTCAATCGCTTCATTAACCGTTGAATTCTCTTGTTTGGTTGGTCTCTTGTCGTGAAACTTCTTCATAGTTTCAGCACTCATAGGCTTTAAGACAATCTGCTGGTCATTAAACTTGAATGAATAAGTGTTTGACTTCGCATTATGATCCACATCTCGGTCATATAGCCAAGATCGACCAAGAAGTATGTGGAAAACAGTCATTGGAATAACGTCACACCATATAGAATCACTGTAAGGTCCATGTTTAATGGACACCAAGCAACGCCTCATTACTGGAATAGAGCTACTGTTGATCCAAGCAACCTTGTATGGTTTAGGATGTGGCTCCGTAGGCAACTTTAACCGCTGTACGGTAGACTCTGAAACCATGTTCATGCTATTGCCATCAATAATGAGCTTTCTAGTCTCTTGTCCACAGCAAACTAAGGTTTGAAAGATTGAAGTTTCTTTTGTGACTTCGGTGCACTGAGGAAATGCCTCACAACCAAGAGATAAGATGTGTCTTCTTCTTGGTCTTCCAAATCATGAACATTAAGTCATGCCATCTCAGTCAAATAATCAGCAAATTCATCTTCCTCGACCTCTAGATTTTCCTTATCTCCGGAATTAGTGTCAATGAGCAAGTTTCTCTTGTTCAGGCACTCCCATGCCATGTGTCCCTTCAAACCACACTTGAAACATCCATATTTGTTCTTGTTTTGTTCATCTATTGTGGAAGCCTTAGTTTTTGTCTTTGCAGGCTTGGAAGTTACTTGAGTTGCTGCTGATTTATATGGCTTGTCATTTGTAGCAAATCTTTTAGGAACTACCTCCCCACCTTGAGTATTGAACCTCTTAATTAGTGGCTGCTGTAGGCTCTTTTCAATTCTAAGAGCTGCTTGGAATGCATTATCAACTGTGTAGATATCATATCCCATCAATTCTTTGCGAATTTCAGGTCTCAAACCCAACTTAAATCTGGACAAAGCTTGTGCTAAACTTTCTATTCCTCCGCAGCGAATTTTCAACTCTTCAAACTTGTTCATATACTCAGCAACTGTCATTCCTCCTTGCCTCAAGCTATTCGTATCATTCAAAAGATCAGCTTCATAATGTAAAGGCACGTACTTTCTCTTCAAACGCAGTTTCATCTTTTTCCACGTCAAGTCTAGTTGTCCAGCAAGTCGAAGATCATGCTCGACTCCTGTCCACCACACTTGGGCTTGTTCAACAAGTTTCATGATAGCAAACTTAACTTTTCTCTCATCAGTCATATCATACCAATCAAAATAGCGTTCCAAAGTAGCAAGCCAATTAGAAGAAACTTTAGGATCAATTCTTCCGTTGAAATCAGGAATATCTACTCTTACATTTTTTGTGATGTCTCCTGCAAAATCATAAGAGTCTTGTCTTCCTTGCCTTGCTGATTGAACAATCTCATTAGCCTTGTCAAAAAGAGAAGCTCGTGGCCTTCCAAAAGATTGATTTAATGTATTTTCACTCCTACCAGATTGATTCCCGGTTGGGTCTTCAGGCTGTTCAATGCTTTGGTTCCTTGCCATTGTTTTTGACCCCAGATCTGGACCCCCCGTTGCCTCTAGATTTAGGAATTTGCTGTTGCTTAGTATTAAAAATTTTGTCTTCTTACACAGCAACCCTCTCCAAGAGAAGATTAATGATGCTATCCCGTTCCTTGTCTGTGTATCGACCCCTAAAATTCAACCCACTACTTGTTGTCATGGGAAAGCCTTGCCCTGATACCAAAACTGACGCAGCACGAACACTTGGTAGGCACAGCAGCTTTGTAGAGAAACCTAGATATCGAATTTCACCCGAAGTTGAAATAGCAACTAGGAATAGGATAAGAAAATATGCTTAAGAAGATAAAAATCTGCTTAGTAAGTCTAGGAATCACTCCTAAGAATCTTAGGCATCACACTTAAAGTTGGGATGTATCACACAACCCTAAGAAAGATGTTGAGTCTGCAGGAAAATTTTATCAATGCCAAAAATTCTGACTTCTCTTTGTGGAGAAGTGGTTATTTTTAGATGCTAGAACAAAGTCAACTTCAATCCTAATTAGAACTCCTAACTAGAATAGAATCCTAGTAGAAAGCTGGAAAGCTAAGCTTTTTTATTCCCCATAACAACTAAAATACTAATTATCAAAAATAATTACTAAACAGAAAATTAACATAAACATAAAATTCCTGCAGCTAACCAAATTACTAAAATTTGCCAACTGGTGAAAATCAGAAAACAAATGCCTTAGGATTCAAACCAACTCCCAAGTTGGTTCCTTGTCATCAAAAGCATGCCAAATCAATGCTGGGGCATTCGACACACCCTTTCCACGCCTCCTATAAACCCTAGTGGATTTTGCCACTTATCTCTATCACTTACTTAATACTAGAACAGCGTAATTCTAATTTTTCCTTTTCATAATAATTATGCTTGCTGATATGTGATATTTTCAAGCAACAGTTTGTGCAGAAATGTAGCCTCATAAGTCACTATTACTTGTGAGAAATCCTAACATTCTCAGCCTTAAGAACTGAAGCATTATATCCATGCATGTAATCCTTAGGAATACTATTTTCTACTACTATGGAGATATCAATTGAGAATGAAGTCATCACTCACAACCAAAAACTTGTCAATTACAATGACTTGGAATATTCTTGGCTGTCATATACATGTCTAGATTGGCAGTGGCACCATAACTAATTAGAGATTTAAATATA